ATTTGATATCCCCCTTGGTGTTTGGGTGGGTGTGAGGCTTGTCGCTGCCTAAGATGTACTCAAGAGACACAGCAGAAGAGGACAGAGTAATTTAAGGTGGCCAACAAGGGACACTGAATTGAGACTCTTTATCCAAGACTCAAGACTCTTCCTTTTCTGTAGAGGTACCCCATTCAAGAGCCCAGAGGACTGGAGGTTCAACAGGTTCCGATGGCTGGTTTGAAGATACTGGGAGGGAGCTTTTCTGAAGGATAGACAGTGGAGGCTGCTGGCATCAAAGGCTTGAACTGGGGGCTACATTTGAATAGTGGGTTGATGGAAATGTTTAGAGAGCCTAGAACAGTGGAAGAGACGCATTCCTAGGGTTGAGGCAGGGACCATAACGGAGCAGGCCAGTAGAGTTGCTAAAGCACTGCCCCCCTCCCATCACCCCCAGACATACACCTTGGCCCTTATCCAAAGTTGCGTGGTTAAGTTAATGGCTTCTGTCCCTGAGATGGAGCAGGTAGGGTTGAATTTCCTTCCCTCCCCCAAAGCTGAGGGAAAGACCATAATCCCTCCTGAAAGGGACCCATTCCAAGGCCCCCACAGGGTGTCTCAGGTTTGCCTTAATCTGTTTGGACAGGGGGGCCCAGCAGGACAAGGGCAGACCTCAGCTTGGGGATGGACAAGAAAGACCCTGTTTGTAGTGAGAAACTTACTGCCAACCCATCTCTGGAGGCTCCAGTCTGTCGCAACAATTCTCTCCTAACCTCTACTCCCATACTCTCTCCACACCCTCTCAGACCTTTCAGATGTCGAAATCTGTGCCCCTCCTGCTAAGACTATTCACTTGGACTGGAGATAAAAACATGAGGAAACTCAGAGGTTTTAGTTCATCCTACAGCTGATGCAAGATGCAACCCATTCCAGCCTTCCTGACCACTCTACTGCTGCTGCCTCTGGTATTCCCAGGACAGCCTCAGGTACAGGCGGAGGGTGGGGGGATCACATACAGGGAGGGAGATGGCTCTGTCCTTTGGACTGGCTTCCCTCACTGCCCTGATCCTTTTCCAGAACCCCCAGGTTCAGGGAGAGAGTGAAGGTGGAGAGGGACACATGGGGGAGAATGGGGTACTTTGCCTGCTCTGATGATCCCCGGGCTTGGGTGCGCATAGGGTGAGAGAGGGAAACAAGGATGAAGGTGAGAGAGGGAGGTATTCTGCGTTGTCTAGCTGCTCTTTGTGAGGTCTTGTTTTCTACAGAAGTCTGACACCCTTTCCCTGTGCTAAGGATGCTGGAACTAAGGGAAGCCAGGTGTTGTAGGCATGTGACCTCTGCTTCAGTTTCCCCCAAAGTTAAACTACTGGGCTGGGGTTATAGGCTGAAGACGCAACCAGATTAACTACCAGGGCCACAGAAGCTATGTGTGGGACTATTCAGAGAAGGACAGGGGCCACATCTTAATTCTTGAAGATTCTGTAAAGAAACTCCAGCTGGTGCCACAGTCCTAATCAACAACTTGGGAAGGAGCCATTGATCCAGTACTGGCTCATCCAGCTCAAAGTGGGAGTGGAGTGGTGGACAAAAGGGATCATAATAATAGGCTAATAACTAAATATAACAACCATAAGCTAGTAAGAGTCTTTACAAATTAAACTCTACATATATTTATAATTCTTAAAAGAAAACACAGGCACCCTCATTTACACACAAGGACATTGGACACAGAGAGGTTAAGTAATTTGCCCATTTTCACTGAGCCAGAAGTAGAACTCAGGCGTTCTGGCTCTAGAATCAGCGGATTTATAAGTAAGATGATAGGTAAAGGTGAGAAGATCCCAAATTATGCAGCTCTTACCCTTAGAACTGTGGGGAGCCGGCTGGGATCAGCCAGGGACATTGAGGCTGTAAGCTGGCAGGATACAGGCCTCCATGTTAGGGTGAGCAGCACGAGAGCAGCTTCAAAGTCACAGACCAGAGCTGCAGGAAGGGTTAAGCCTGACAGCTGGCAAGATGACGGGCTCTTAGGCTGTGGGGAGCAGCGTGGGAAGGTTGCAGGGAAGATCGCATCTCCACTGTGCCCCTGACTCATCTCCACTGTGCCCCGGAAGAAGAGCAGCCAACAGCACAGACAACCTTAAAAGTTACAGAATGGAAGGCCATCCTGTTAACAGTTTCTACTTGTTATACTTTGTTCTGTTTCACTTCGGAAAGATTGCTTCCAAGGGTACTGTTCCCTGAGAGGAGGGAACTACTCCCTCAAGGTCCCAAAACCCCCTACCTAAGGAAAGTTACTTTTGCTATAAAGGCTGTGTACAAATAATAAACGAGGCCACTCGCTGCCATCAGCACTGAGTGGACCTCCCGTTCCCAGGTCCACTCTTTCTTTCTTTCTTTCTTCGTCTCCCACCCAATCCTCCCAGGTGCGCTCCTGGCTGACAAGTCAGGAGCGCTGGTGTGGCGTGTGGGTGGCGTCATAGAACCTTTCTCCCCTTGCTCTATTTAGCTGCGGCGAGGCAGCTGCCTCCTACCTTCGTGCTGTGGGTCTGCATCACATACCCACCCCAACATAACTTGGAGCTCTGTTGCTGCCTTAGGAATAAAAGCACAGGATCTAGCACAACCATGAGACCTGTGGGCAGCTTTCAGCTTGCTCACTCATTAATCATGTGACTTAGTGAAGTATATATATATTTTTCATTCTCAGAAACTCCTTTTTTTTTCCATTATAAATGTGGATGACAAGTCCTACCTTGTTCTTGTGAATGCTGAATATCAGTCCAGACTCTGGTGCTCCATGTTGCTGTTAATATTCTTTCTTTGATGATTTAAAACTCTCTGTTCCTGCTGTCTTTAAGACAAAGTGAAGCTGTGGGAATCTACTAAATCTCACTGCTGGGGGTGCTGCAGAGAACCACAGCCCCTGAGCTGGTCCCTTGACGCTTCTCTTCAGAGCGTCTTTCCGTCTTTCCTCTCTCCCACAGAGCATCAAGGGAAAGCCTGCTTCCAGTTATGTGAATTGCAGCCAGATCCAGCCAGTACACGAGGCAGGGCAAGGGTGGCCCTACCAGTAAGAGCTGGAAGGGGGCTGTGGCTTCAGTTCTGGGAAGTCAAAGAAAGGGTCACTAAAACCCATGACAGGAGGACGCCCAGCCAGTCAAGAACAACCTCCTGTGCAGGCAAAGCTGTTCTCAGGCACACCAGAGCAGGGTCAGGCTCTTCTTCTGCCTCATGTTGCTAAACAGCACATTGTGCCCCAATATATATGCTTAATGTGCCTGTAACCATGCTTTTGCAGCTGACAAAAGGTGTGCCAGATTCCAGGGATAAAGATAGCAAATGCCATTGTGTGGCTCACCTGCCCGACAGCCCCGTCTACCTGCAGCAGCTGGAACAGCTACAGAGTATAGCCCAGGAGCTTATGGGCACGTATGAGCAGGAGCTGTCCAGGGTGAGTGCTGGGCCTGGGGCTGGGGCCGGGAGGAGCACAGGCACAGCCTCTCCTGGACCCAGCTTGGGGATGGGTCCCAGCAGTAGAGAAGAAGCTGAAGGAAGCATAGCCCTCTTCTTTGAGGTGATTCTTTAGTATGAAGGGAAAATTAGGTACTGGTTTGGGATCCCAATGATAGTAACAATACAGAGACGCTTATGTAGGGAGTGCTTCCTACATGAATGGGTGAATTAATGTTTATGGATTCACTGGGAGATGGGAAGAGGGTATAGAACAAGAAAAGGCTCGGAAGTGGGATGACCAGTGCAAAAGAGGCAGGAAAGAGTTTGAGGAAGAGTTAAAATGGAGAGATTTATATGGAGAGATTTGTAGGCCAGGCTGGTGAGCTTGGAATTGCTGCTGTTAAGTAAGGATGAGTGAACAGAAAGGTTGCATGAGCAGTGTGATGTGGGCACTTGCTTTTTGTAATAGTCACTAGTGTCGCTCCTGGGGAAGGTTGATGGGATGGGGCCAGACTGGAAGCTGGAAGTCTGTCCATTTATTTACTCACTATACCACTCCTGAGAGTGTGTGGCTTTAACCAGAAAAGGAAAGAGAGGCTCTGGGTGATGCAGGAGACAGAGTTAGTATTTTTCCTGTGGTGAAAAGGGTACTAGTGCCCTCAGCTTTGAAATAGGGATAACACTAATGCTCACCTCAAGAGCTGTTAATGGAAGCAAAGGTGGCAGATATGAGAGAATTTTGTAGGCGGTGTGGCACAGTTGGGGGGATGTGAATGAATGGGAAGAACCTAGGTGTTGCAGTTTGGAAGAACTGCCCGACCATCCACCCCATGCCCAGGCCAGTGAGTATGCACATGCCATTGAAGATCAGGAGAACCGGATCCTGGAAATGCGCAGTGCCCTGAAGTCCGGAAGTCCTATTGCCCTGGCTTCTTCCTATCAGCTCCCAGCCTTCAACCTGCTGCTCCTGGAGCTGGAGGGAGCACAGGAGTTGGTGGCCCAGCTTAAGGCTAAGAGAAGACTTAGTGGGGCCAAGGACCTCCTCTACCAACTCCAGAGCCAGGTATGTGGATGGATGAAAGAATCTCTCTCCCCTTCATAGCCTCCTGTTTTATCTAATTTCAAATGTGACTGTTCCCAAAATTACTTTTTTTCTGAAGAAGACCCTGAGCTGAGAAATAATGGGAGACTGAGTTCAGTTCTGAACAGCACTCAGTGAACCACATTTCTGGTCTCTCATTTCCACAGGTGGCTAATGCCAGCCTCACACTCAAGCTTCTGGCTGACTCTGACCAGCGCAGCTTCCATGCTCTCCTCCAGGAGGTAGATGTCCTGGAAGGCCAGTTACATGAGTGTGAGAGACAGAAGGAGAAAGAAGAGGCCTCCATACACCTTGACCCACCACAGTCCCCAGGTGAGGCCTCAGATGAGATCTTCCCAAGATCTCATCTCCCCAAGGACAGGATTGGGCACGCAAGGTTGCCTATGGTACACTGAGAGATGGGCAGTTAAAATCTTGATGTAGAATAAACCTTCCATTTCCTTGTTTGGTGTATCACCACGGGATGCACACCAAGATTGGTACATTCTCACACATGGGCATACCCACATACACACACATGTAAATATACCCATAATCAGACATAAACACTAACCTTTACTCATGCACAATCATACCTGCTTATACAATCACACCTGCTTATACACTTATGTATGCACTCAGATGCGTGGACATACACTCAAATGCACATGGTTATTATACTTTCCTCCCAGTAGGTCATGTGCTTCACACTTAGCACATACCTTGCTTGCTTTCTTCTCTAGGTTCTTGTGCCCACGGAGGCCTCCAGGAAGTCAGCAGACCTGTCGTGGTGCAGCTTAATTGGAGAGGCTTCTCTTATAAGGCGGGTACCTGGGGCCGAGACTCGGCACCCAGTCCAGCCTCTTCTCTCTACTGGGTGGCCCCTCTGCGTGAAGATGGCAGGTGAGTCCAGGATGATTTCTCTTCTGCAACCAGATTCATTCCAAGTGTTCCCTATCCTACCCTAATAGGTTGCTTTGTGGCCCCATCCTTGCTTCTTCTATTTCAGGTGTCCCCTGGGCAAACTTAGCCTATGCCTGACAGGTTACCTGCTGGTACTCTTCTTATGGGTTAAAGATGGCCCAGATTGCTCTGAGCTTCCTTCACAAATTCACTGTCCAAAAGGTCTAATCCTCTTGTAATCCAGAGTTGGTGCTATTCCTAGCCTGATTTTATTTCAAGAACAAACTCTTCTACACCTGGGCCTCAGAATCTTAACTTCTGCTCAGAAGAAATTCAGAGGATGAACTTGACCAAACTTGAGTCTTGGAGTCAAACAGGCCTGTGTATGAATCTCAGTACTGCCACTTAAGCTACGTGACCTTGGAGAAATAAATTAACATCTCAGATGTATTCTTAGCCAGCTGTAAAATGAGAGTAATTAAATATATGAGAATATCACACAAGATCACACAGTAGGCACAGATAAATATTTGTTAGAGGAAAGAATGGCTAAATGAATCAATGAGTAGGGGAATGAGCCCTTCAATAAGCTGGCAGTCTGGCTAGGAAGACGGACGCAACTCACACACAGAGAGTTTAAAGTCAGTACATAAAGAAGTGTGATATAGAACCAATTGAGTAGGAGGTCATGGGAAGGAAGGATAAGTGTGGGTTGAACCAGTCATTGAAAAACCCCAGTTGAATTTCATCTCAGAAAGATGAGCTTTTTACTGATAATAATGCTCCCTAATTCCTACAGATATTTTGTAGCACACGAAACATGTTTACGTGCTTCTGTTTTTTTTAAAGATTTTTTTTTTTTAGTTGGGGAATTGGGGGATGGGAACAGTGCTGGGGAATTGGGGGAAGGACAAGTTGCTGTCGTTTTGTTCTTCAGTCTAGTTGTGGAGGACGTTGCTTCACTGGCCCAAGTTGGCACCATCATTGCGCTCTTCCCTGGCAAGGCAGATCAGTCGCCGGCTTCTGGATGGCCACTCACTGCGGCTGCTGGCCGCTCACGCTGGCTGCTGGCTACACACGGTAGCCCATGGCAACCCACTGCAGCAGGGGCTGCAGCCTACGCCGTCGCCGGCGACTCACGGCAGCCCAGCTCCAGGTTGAGCTGTTGTTCAGCATCTTAGCTGTAGAGGGCAGTGTCACTGGCCCTCATATGTGGGATCTGAACTGGGGCCCTCTGGCATCCCAAGCGAGTTCTCAACCATCGCGCCACTCGGCCGACCCCGTGCTTCTGTTTTTTAAATCCTCTAAATCTCTGTGGGTAAGGCAGGACATACTGCTTAATATTAAGAGACTTATGAGTAAGTCAAGAATGATTTAAGGGACTTTCCAAAATGAACTTCTGAGCATAACTCCCCCGAATGCAGCTTCAGTACTATGTCCTGCTTCAGGGTCTCTCTGTCTCAAGGGCAGGTACAAGGCAGTGAAGTCTAGGCACAGAAGATTATCCAAAAAGAAGAAAAAACATAATAGCTACCACTTGCTGATTGCTTACTTTGAGATGAATACTCTAGTAATTATTTTATTTGCATTATCTTGCCCAGTCTTGACAATCAAGGAGGTAGATCCTTTTGTTTTTCTTTTTATGAATTTACTTATGAGTTGATTGACCTTGAGCCAATTAATCTTTCTGAGACCCAGTCTCCTAATCTGTGGGGATCAGGCCTATCTGACAGTGCTTTTATTATAATTAAATGAGATAATGCATGCACAGTGCCTATTAGGCATTGTTGCAGCTGATGTTATTACTATTGTTACTGGTTTTTTTAAAAACAATTATTTATTCTATCATAGTATATTGTAAATAAAAAAAAATCCATTCTGTTCGATTCCAAAGCCCCCATTATGAATTAGAACACTAGCCTGCCCATTTTTAATAGTAATTTGTTACCCTGTTCTTGCTGTCACCTAATGATTCGGTGTGGGGATTGGCCTAGGTACTTCGACTACTACCGGCTGCATAAGTCCTACGATGACCTGGTACTGCTGAAGAACTATGAGCAGTGGAAGATGGGCTACGGTGATGGCAGTGGCAATACTGTGTACAAGAACTTCATGTACTTTAACTACTACGGCACAGGTGACATGGCCAAGGTGGACCTCTCCTCCAACAGCCTGGTTCTGCAGCGCCCTTTGCCAGGCGCCACCTATAACAACCGCTTCTCCTATGCCGGTGTGCCCTGGAAAGACTTAGACTTTGCTGGGGATGAGAAGGGGCTGTGGGTGCTTTATGCCACTGAGGAGAGCAAGGGAAACCTGGTTGTGAGTCTCCTCAATGACAGCACCTTAGAAGTGGAGAAAACCTGGCGCACCAGCCAGTATAAGCCAGCCCTGTCAGGGGCGTTCATGGCCTGTGGGGTACTGTATGCCTTACGCTCACTGAGCACCCGTCAAGAGGAGATCTTCTATGCCTTTGATACCACTACTGGGAAGGAGCGCCAGCTGAGCATCCTGCTGGATAAGATGCTGGAAACACTACAGGGCATCAACTATTGCCCCTTAGATCACAAGCTGTATGTCTACAATGATGGCTACCTGGTCAATTATGACCTCAGCTTCCAGACACTGAAGCGCAGGCTACCAAGGCCACCAGCCAAAAGGCCCTCAGGGGCTCGGGCTCCACCAAAAGCTGTCAAACCCAGCAAGACCTCCAGGTCCTGAGACCCCAGGGCAGAGCATTGGCAGAAGCACGTTCTCCTCTTTACCCTCCAGGTGGACCACTCCTCCAAATGGCCACCACCCTTACTGATTTGTAGTGGCATTGATTATATATCTAGTTAGTTCTTTATACTTATTATCTCAATCAGCACATTAAAGTTCTCTTTAATAATGGTCTAGGTGGATTTGATTGGGAAACAAAACATGAGATGGAAAATGTTACTTTCTCTTTACCAGAATCCAGATTGTAGGAGCTAGATGTATCATTTTGAAAACAAATCTCATATGCTGTGTTTTGAGGATCCTGTGAGCTAGGTTTGGAATTGTTTAAGTCCCAGGTTGAGAGCCTCTGGTTCTGGTGCAGAAGATCCAGGGGAGTTGCCATTAGAGTGGGATGAGCAAGTTCCCTTTCTTATCCCCAACCTCCTGAGTGGCACCTGGGGAAAAATGAGGCAAAGTCTTGGTGTAAAAATCAATGTTTCACTGTCCTGAATCAATCTCAATTTTGAATGCAGTGAGAGAGGGGCTTAGGTCTGAGTTCTGCTCTAGGAAGTGAGCAACTGATGGCTGACATGAGGTGGGTATGATGTGGATTGGGCTGAAGGTCCAGACATTCTCAACACAGAATCCTTGGGTATGAGAGCAGGAAGTCTCCTAGCCAGCTGGCTGTCGTTTCTTTGCTCATCTTCAACACACTGAGACCATATGGGCTTGGACGCTCTGCTTGACATTTACCTGTCTGCATGGTACACCTCCCCTCCAGGCAGGCGGAATGTTCAAAGTTTCAGACCCTGACGTCTTCACAGTCACACAGAAACCAGGCTACTTTATTCACACTTCCTCATGCTTACACTTTCACATGTATGTGTTCACAAATATATATCCAATCAGACATATGCCTTCTTATTCTCAGATATACAATATTTTCATCTATACCCAAACATCAACATAAATATAAATAGGCATTTAAACCTTTACACTAACAGAAAATTCATCTGCTACCCAAATAAAAATCAAGCACCATCCTCCAAATTTGCATGGAACTAACTGGAAGTCGCTAACACAAGTAATAAGCTCCTTCCTATGGGAGAGATTCCATTCTTACCCACAGGCATGTTGTTTTATCTATGGTTTCAACAGACCCAACTTTTCATACAGGAAGCCTAACATTCCTATAAGGAGCCCACATATATCACCAGAGAAATACTCATCCCACATAAACAATCTGGCCTTTGTTTTTTTACTAGTTCCATTTTAAGAACGTTGTCCTCAGTTTTCTGGAAAATTGTCTTATTTTATTTCATTCATGGAGATCTGGACGAATATGGTTTCCTTTTCCAGCTAGTCCTGGCAGGGACTGTGAGGCCAGATTAACATCACAATACCCATTTTCTACAGAGGTTATGCTCTTGGTGGGTGGGGCAGGGGGAGGGGCAGCATGGGAGGAGTCATCTCCACTTAGCCCACCTTGCACCAAGTATGAATCAGTAGCCACGACAGGCCTCAGCTGGGCCACATCTGGAGAACTTGGGTGGGGTAGGACACCGCAAAATACCTGGCCCCAGGCTGGTCACTCATCCTTTTTTGGGCAAGAAGGAAGCTAGCCTGTGGCCTGAGAACACAACACCTGAGGCAAGTCCAGTAGAACCATCTGTCTGCCCTCACCCTTCCTGCCCCTGCTTTGACCTGCTCCCCATCCGACCGCCCACGAAGGTCCATGCCACATATCTTCTCTCAAACACCCAGGATGGCTCCGGCTGGGTGTCCTTCAGTTCTGCCTGCAGGCAAGAATATCTCTCTAAGTGTCATTCGAGTGATAGTGAAGACACCAGGCAAGCAGAAAGACTTTATGGTAGCTGAAGATACCTTGGTAAGGCAGTTTAAGGAGAAGCTATCGGCTTACTTTAAATGCCAAATGGACCAATTAGTGCTGGTCTTCATGGGCCGTCTTCTCAAAGACCATGACACACTGAGTCAAAGGGGCATCCTAGATGGCCACACCATCCACTTGGTCATCAAATCTAAACAAGGATCCAGATCACTGGCCCATTCCTCCCGGAGCCTGCTGACCAACGAGCCCTGCTACCTAGACAGAAACAGCAGAGGAAATAGCAGTGGGGTATACCACCCTGCTGGTGTGAGTCACACCCCAGTGGAATCAGCCCCCTCTGTGGAGCCTGATGCATCTCAGGTGCATACCCAGCACCTGGAAGTGGGAAGTCCAGAGAACACAGCACAGGTCCTGGAGAATCCTAGCATCCAGCGGCTTCTGTCCAACACAGATCTCATGATACAGCTCATCTCAGAGCACCCAGACATGCAACAATTGATGCAGCAGAACCCAGAAGTCTCACACATCCTTAACAATTCTGAGACCCTAAGGCAGATTTTGGAGCTGGCCAGGAATCTTGCCGTGATTCAAGAGATCATGCAGATCCAGCAACCTGCACAGAACCTTGAGCATCCACTGAACCCACCATCACAGCTGGATGGAGAGACAGTCCCAGGCAGGTCCAGTACCTTGGGTCAGAGCCATGCTGATTCCAATGACCAAATGCCCAACAGCTCACAAGATCCCTTTAAGGGTAACATTTTCACAACTCTCCTGGGAGGACAAGTGCTGGAACAAGTCCAGTCTTCATCCCCGTCTCCACCATCACCCCAGGAAAGGCAGGACAAGCTCCCTAAAACCCAAGTCATCTATACTCGTTCTTGTGGTTTATCTTCAATTACTTCAGACAGTGCTACTCCCAACAAGGTGAATCATACTTCTAGGGCCAATGCTGCCACCAATTCCAGCAAGGGCCAGAGTCATACCTGTGCCGTTCAGCAGCCAGCTGGGGTACCCGCCTTACCTAGCATAGAGATCACCCAGCAGCCCCAGGCAGAAGACAAAGATGACACCATTTCTCTAGATAGATCTGACCAGAGTTTGGAGGATGAGCAGACCAGCTCCCAGATCACAGGAAGCATGATGCAGTTGCTTTTGAACAACCCCTACCTGGCAGTCCAGATGATGTCATTCATGAGTATGTCCCGGCTGAGTGAACAGTGGAGGCAGCAGCTACCCACCTTCCTGCAGCAGACACAGCTTTCTGACATACTTACAGCCCTCGCCAACCCTAAGGCATCGCAAGCAATGCTGAAGATTGAGCAGAGTCTGCAGCTACTGGCCACCGAGGCGCCTGTTCTTCTGCCCTGGGTTGCACCTTACCTCTGGGGCCTGGGCTGGCTTCCTGCCCCCAGCTGCAGCTACCCTGAGACAGATCCTTGGGCCTGGGATGTGCCAGATATGGCTGAGCCCAAAGGGCCTGAGTGCTGCCACAAATCTGGGGCAGTCCTACAGAAGCTACAATCTCTCGCTGGAGATCCTTCCCACCTTCCACAAGCCCCTGAGCTTCGTTTCAGCAAGCAAATGGAGTATCTTCAGGCCATAGGATTTGAAAACCACCATGCCAATCTGGAGGCACTCATTGCCACTGAGGGGGACACCAGTGCTGCTATTCGCAAGCTCAAGAGATCCCAGGGTTTCTAACCACCACGCCTGCCTATTTGCTTGTTATCTTCATGCTGACCCATTTGACCACCTTATCTGCTTTTTCCTCCTCTTCTGATGCTTCCAGCCAGGAGAAGTCTTGGAGCAGAAGAAACCAACCAATGCTTTCTCTACTGAACAATGGACCATTGGTTGAGGCTGGAAGACCTGTCAATAAAATGGCTACACCCACTTGCCCCCATCTGAGGTTTGGCTTTGTTTCTTTCACACACAAAAAGGGCAACTATCTGTGTGTGATATCCCTGTCTCACCTACCTATATACATGAACACATATACATGTACACACACACACGCGCACACACACACACACACACACACACACACCACGTGCGTATGTTAATATAGGGAATCATCATTGCACACATAGAACCACAAGCACAGACATCATACCACATTCACATACCCAAGAACATGCATATGTATGTACACACACACAAGTTCACAGAGCTGAAGATTCACATATATAGGCACATAAAGTCAACAGATATACACACCCCTGTGTATACACAGATATACACACATACCTAGAGAGACACATAAAAAGACCCCCATGTAAGGAGGACAAAGCATACAAAAGGGAAAAATACTACAGATAAACTCAGACACTACTTGGTCATAAAGACTTCCTTGATATCTCAAATCCAAATTGTTTCAAGTTTGAAAGTGGAGGAAGAAAAACCTAGTGGGCCAGAGTAGGAAAAATCCACATTTAAGTCAGGTCTTAATGTGTATCCCCATAGGAGTCTCCTACTAATTGCCATTTTGCAATCATAGGGCTTTGCTGGACTGTTATTAGCACAGAGAATACAGCTGCTGCCACCTTCACTCATATTCTAGCCACACACACACACACACACAAAACAGGCCTCCGTGGGGCACAACATCTTCCAACAACGTCATTCTTCAGCATAGCTAATGTGTATAGTTCATGTTTTCTACAGTTAGCCAATGTCCCCTTCCTCCTCTTCCTGCCTCACCAAGAGTATTTCACCCAATTGGTATGAAAACAATTGTGGTTCAACTGAAAACAATTGTGGTTTGACTACTCAATTATTAAATACTTTAATAAGCTCTTGCCATAATTTAATAAATCAAATAGTTCAGGCATTGAAGAAATAGTAGTGATAAAACAAAGACTACTTGTGGAGTTTACATTTTTTCTGGGGGACGCAAGCAGTATTTAACTTATAGACATGTTTGGTGATACGTGCTATGGAGAAAATTGAAGCAGGCTAAGCTGTTCTAAGTAGGGGATAGTCAGAAAAGGCCTCTCTGAAAAGGTGGCAGTTGAGCAGAAAGTAGAAGGAACTGGGAGAGGTGAACATGCAATTTCCTGGGAGAAGTATGTTCCAGGCAGAGAGGGCTGCATAAAAAATGTAAAAGCCCTAAGGTAGGAGGATTCTTGTATCTGAAACATAACAAGGAGATGATGTAGCTGGAATTGAGTGAACAGGAAAATGGGGGCAAAATTGGACATCGGGGAATCATGCAGCACCTTGTAGGCCTAGTGAGCACTTTGGATTTTACTATGAAAATCACTTGCTGGATTTTGGGCAAAGGAGTGGAGTGATTCGATTTATCAGGCTGGCTTCTGAGCGGGGAATACTGTGGTAAATGAAAACGTTGGAAGCAGTAGCACCGGTAGGCATTTTTGTGATAGAGCAGGTAGAAGATGGTAGTGTCTGGGACTAGGGTGGCAGCAGAGGAGGTGGTGAGAAGTGTTCAGGCTCTGGGCTGCAAACGGGACCCACAGAGTTGTGTGTGCTCCTCACAGGTCATCCATCCTCCAAACTTGACAGAACCTTCACTCTTGGCAAGAGTGAAGGACAGGTCCACAAAACTCTGACTGTGTCTAGCAAACATACTGCCAAAGACTTCCACTCCACCACAGCAGTCTACTAGAAAGATACATCTCAAGAAAGAAATGATACTAAAACTGATTTTTTACCTCCCCAATAAGACAAATCTATTAATCTAATTAAGCCTTAGGCCTTGGTTGCCTCAGTTTACATAAACAACCCAAGCTCTCCAGGTTATCTTTCTAATTATCCCAATGTGCTCGACAATCTCTCATCTGACTCAGTGTTCCATGCATCATCGATTCTCCAAACCTTTCCACCCTACCATTTAGAACTCATAGTTTAGCAACAGCAAAACCCTTATATCCACAACTTTCAAAATGTTCCCTTACCTTCCTTCTGTAACTGAAATCTGGCTGTCCACTGAGGTTACTGCTTCTCCAGCAGTGCTCGCTGCTTCTTTCATTCCTGGTGGACTTAGAAGTGGGATTGGTGTCCTCCTTGTGCCTTCTTTTGCTTCCTGACTACAATTCTCTAGCTTCAACACTACTTTATGATCTATCAGTATAATAATTCTGGCATAATACCTAGCAAACTTACCAGGGCATATCCAACTCTGCCCAGTCTCTGTGTAGGCAGAGAAAAGCAGACAACTATGCTGACTAGTCCTTTCTAAATTGATCACCAAAAGCCTTAACTGGTCTAGTAGTAATCTTACTACATTTCCCTATGCCAATAATTTTCACCAGAATCTGCATCAGAATTTCCTGGAGAGTTTGTCACAACACAGATTTCTGAGCGTTATTCCAAGAGTTTTTCACTCAGTAGGAGCCCCAGAGTTTGTATTTTGCTGGTGCTGTTGGTCTGGAGACCACACTTGGAGATCCAATGCTCTAGTCAATTCACTAACTTATTCATTGAGATGATCATTTCATACCTTTTCTGCTCTTCTCAAACCTTCACCATCTTATTTTCTACTCTCAACCACATTGATGTTTTATTTCAACAAGAAGAAAAAAGTGATCAGAAGTGACTTATACCTGTGTCCATCACTAAATCCACCAATTAACTTGCATCTGTACCTATACACACTGCCTTCCAACCTATTGTAGTGAATAAACTGGCCATGATCCTAAATCAAGCTTTTCCCTAATCTATCTACTCAGTAATTTAATCTGACAATTTTTTATCTTTCTCCTGCATCATTTTTCTCTCCTATTGGATTGTTCCTATCAGAATAAAAATATAATTTAACATTCTCATCTTAAGAAAAAAAACAAAACAAAAAAGGTTTTATCTCCACATTCTCATATAGCCACTATCTTTTTTTTTTCTCATTTAAAATACTCTCATTGGATTCACTTTCTTTCCAATCCATTTGCTTTTAAACCCATTCCATTCAGGTTTTCTGTCCCTGCCACTTTTCCAAACCTGGTCTCATCATTGTTCCAATTCTCTCCTGTCAAATCCAGTGTCAATTCTCAGTCTTTATCCTACTGACCTACCAGCATCATTTGACATATTTGGTTACTCTCTCCTTTCTGAAATACTTCATCTGCTCTTCTCTCTCTCTCTGCTTTTTTGACTTTATATTTTATTTCTTCTAAATATCCTTTGCTGAATTCATCTAATCTTACAGACTTCTAAATGTTCTAGTGCCCATGACTGTTTTTTACCTTTATCCTTTTCCTGCACTCACTAATCTCACGATTCTAAATACTTCATCAATGTGAATGAACTCTAGACTCATGATATTGAATTACCTTTCTACATTTCCATTTGAGCATAAAATAGACATCTCAGATATATGTAAAACTGAACTCCTAATGTTCTGTTTAACAACTATATAACCTGTTTCTTTGTTTTATTTCAATACATGGCCAATCCATTATTTGAGTTCTTCAGGGGGATAATAATCATTTTTTAAAAAAGTAAAATAAAAATTCCATGTCATCTTTGACCCCTCTCTCATATGTTTGCAGTCTCCTGCCCATCATAAATTCAATACTTTGAAAATATATAAAGAATTCATGGCTAATGTTGAATCAGGGAAAAGACAGGAACATAAGATGCCAGGAAGAAGAGGGTTAACTGGAGAGTAGCTGAATTTGTCTTAATGGGGACACGAAAGAGTAAGGAGTCTTTCTTAATTGTCTAATCCAAGTGAGTCTCCACATAGCACATACCAGGGTGTGTGGAAGGAAGACTCTTGACCTAAGAAGGAGGGCCATCCAAGGTCCCTCACTGTGAAAAAGGCAATTGAGATAATGGAAGTAGAAAAGTTAAAGGTTGGGAGAGACGATGTTCCCAGGGATGCAGAGCACCTTGGAGAAATCTCAAGAATCCATTGTGTGTGACAGTGATGTCAGAGCTGAGGTCACAGAGGTGGGTTCTGAGTGGGTTCCAGCTCAGAAAGCTTCAGGGGTGGCTGTTCAGCAAGATGAGGGTGGTTTGGAGCCCTGTATAAGAGGAAGAACTGGGTCACAGCTGATTGGTGTGTATTCCCTAAACTGGGCCCTTCTTCCTGCCATTGTCCCTTCACTCATCAACTGTAGACCTCTTTCCCAGGGCCACAGGTCTCCTTTTCTTGACCCCAACATCTCTCAAACCCTTAATCCTCCCAAAGCATACTGTCCCAGGAACCTCAGAGCTCCTTTCATGTGGCCCTCCAGTTCCCCCACCTTGAGATCCCAAGCCCTCTTTCTGCTCACATTTACTACTCCCACCACTGCCCAAAAGAATGATCTTGGTCTCCCATTCCTATCCCCCAGCTGTGTCCCCACAGACCTGGGCCTCCTGCTGCCCACCATGGCCAAAAGTGGACAGGCCCTGCCACAGGGCAGCCCAACACTAGTCCAGGATCCCCACTTCATCAAGGTGACAGTGAAGACGCCCAAGGACAAAGAAGATTTCTCAGTTACAGACACTTGCACCATCCAGCAGCTGAAGGAAGAGGTATCTCAGCGTTTTAAGGCTCACCCTGATCAGCTGGTCCTAATCTTTGCTGGCAAAATCCTCAAAGACCCTGACTCATTGGCACAGTGTGGAGTGCGAGATGGCCTCACTGTTCACTTGGTCATCAAGATGCAGCGTCGTACCACGGGCACTGAGTGCCCAGCTGCTTCAGCTCCGACCCCAGCCCCAAGCCCTGGAGTTCTCCCTCAGCCAAGCTCTGTTTATCCAGCAGATGGGCCACCCACCTTTAGCTTAGGTGTCCTCACAGGCCTCAGTGGGCTGGGTCTGACCTCTGGTAGTTTCTCTGACCAGCCAAGCTCACTGATGTGGCAGCATGCATCTGTGCCTGAGTTTTTGGCTCAGATTGTTGATGACCTCTTCATCCAAGGCCTGCTGTCCAACACAGGCCTGGTACACCAGCTGGTTCTTGACAACCCCCATATACAGCAGCTGATCCAGCACAACCCTGAGATTGGGCATATTCTCAACAACCCTGAAATCATGCGGCAGACACTGGAGTTTCTACGCAACCCTGCCATGATGCAAGAGATGATGCGTAGCCAAGACCGGGCACTCAGTAACTTGGAGAGTATCCCAGGTGGCTACAATGTGCTTCGGACCATGTACACAGATATTATGGACCCAATGCTTAATGCAGTACAGGAGCAGTTTGGTGGCAATCCTTTTGCTGCTACCACTACTGCTAATGCTACCACCAACAGCAGCCAACCTTCAAGGACGGAGAATTGTGACCCTCTTCCCAACCCCTGGGCTTCCCCATGTGGAGGCTCAGGTGGCAGGCAAGGCAGACAACCTGGGGAGCAAGATGTATCAGAAATTAGAAATAGGGTTGCCAACATTCTGGGTAATATAAGGCTCTATGACTATCTCCAATTACATGAGACTCCCCAGTCCCTGGAAACCTACTTGCAGGGGACTGCTTCCACCCTCAGCCCAAGCCAAGAAGCACATCCACCAGGAAACCAAGTGCCCCCAACTTCACCCTCATCCCAGAAATCTGAGGGATCAGTAGCAATCAAAGGAATACCTCCCTGCCCAGGGTTGCTGAAATACCCCACAGAGAACAGTACTGGACAAAATGGAGGCCAAAAGAGTATGACAGGGAATGGCTTCACTGGTCACAGCACCAGCATGCCTGATCTTGTCTTGGGGCTGGGAAGTGCTGCCAGGACCCCATTTGTTTCTTCACCACCATCCCCGATGGTGGCTACCCCTGGGATTTCTGAGCATGCCTGGCTGCCACCGTTAGCTTACCCAAGACCCCTGAGACCAGCCAGCATGAATCAGGCCCCACAGTTGCAGGATGAGACGCACCGGCAGCTGCCACTGCTGCTGTACCTTCAGGCAGCCATGGCAAACCCTCGTGCCCTGCGTGCTCTACTGCAGATAGAGCAAGGTCTGCAGGTCCTGGCTACTGAAGCACCCCATCTCCTGCTCTGGCCCACGCCTTGCCTAGTAGGATTTGGAAATACGGCAGGAGGTACAGAGCCTAGAGAGGATGCCCTTGCACCTGAGGATCTTCCCCCAGCCCCAGCTCCTGCGGTTTCCGCAGCACAGGGCTCTGTGGAATTCGGCCTCCATTCCACTCCCTTCCTCCAGATACTGCAAGCCCTAGCTAGTGCCAACTCCCAGCAGCCTGAGACACACTTCCAGGTGCAGCTAGAACGGCTGCGGGCCATGGGATTTTTGAACCCTGAAGCCAATCTCCAGGCCCTCATTGCCACAGGGGGCGATGTGGATGCTGCAGTGGAGAGGCTGAGGCAGTCGTAGGTGCCCAAGTTTTTCAGACCATATCTTTTCCTCTGTGCTTTTCCCCCCATATCCCATTGCCCAGCTCCCCTATTCTTGAATGCAGCCACACTATGAACCAAATTTACTATTATGCCCTTTACGGTGGAGACAGTGTTGTGCCATAGTCAATGAGAAAGAATGAGAGCCAGAAAGAGGGTGGGGTGCTGTGAGTGACCCAACTACCCCTGCCCCTGTGTCATCATGGGACGCCAGTCTGAGATCTGCATATGCCTGTCTTGAGATGCAATTACATCCAATCTCCAGTGCCAGTTGCTTCTGAGTCTGATTCTTTGTGGGCTGTGAGAAAGGGGAACATATGGGAAAAGGAGTGGTGATAAGATCTATCAGTGCATGAATGGGAGGGCTTGAGGGGAAAAGAAAAGGTTTGAAGTTAGAAGATGAAGAGGCGTGGAGAACAAAGGAAGGTGGACTGAGGCAGCTTCTTGATGTGCTTTCAGACGTCCCCCAGATTTTGTGTTCTGTAGGAACTGCCACTATGTACTCTGCTCAGCAGCCTGAATGAAAAGTGCAAGTGGGCACAGTTTCTTTTTCTTTTTTTATTTTTATTAAAGTTTATTGGGGTGACAATTGTTAGTAAAATTACATAGATTTCAGGTGCACCATTCTGCCCTATATCCTCTATATACCCCATTGTGTGTTCACCACCCAGAGTCAGTTCTCTTTCCATTACCGTATATTTGACCCCCTTTACCCTCATCTACCACTTCCCCATTACCCTCTGGCAACCACTAAACTATCATCTGTGTCTATGAGTTTTTGTTTCTTCCTTTGTTTTCCTTGTTCTTTTGTTGTTTTCAGTTTTATATACCACATATCAGTGACGTCATATAGCTCTCTACTTTTTGTGTCTGAGTTATTTTACTTAGCATTATAGTCTTATTTTTATTGTCCCCGAAGACTATCCCACAGGTGACTCTCATTTTCTGGATTTGATGCTGATCCCTGAGTGGATAGATATAGAGCATGATTCAGGCTAAATTCTAAGATTCCCTAATTTTACCACCGTTTACCAAGTTACTGTCCTTAGTAGCCAGATTTAGAGAGTTATTTTAATTGCCACAAACTGCTTGTCTTGGATTTTGTCTTTCTTGCAACTCCTAGCTCAGAAATGGAGTACCTGCCCTGTGTTCAGCATTCAGCATTAGGAATTCAGTGTGAGTAAAAGAGACATGACCCTGCCCTCATGAGATTATCATCTGGTAGCAGGTACTGTTTATTCTGTGAGTATTTAAAGAGTGCTCCTATGTAATTACAAACTAGGATAAATGTTATGAAGAAAAAGAAGAGGAGTGTGAAATAGCATAGCAAGGGTTTGATCTAGTCTGGGGAGACATGGAAGGCTGCTTTGAGATTCACTCCAAGCTATGATATTAAAAGTAAGAATGAAGATTTGAGAGGGGACGGACGAGTACCCCAAGTACAAAGGCACTGAGGTAGGATGTATGTCAAACACAGGAAGTGCTCTTGACATCTCAGATTAAATTCTAGTTTGCGCTCAGGGCCTCTTCCCATTACCCATGAACTTCTAGGGTGAAAGTGTTACAATTCATAAATCAAGCAAGTAAACGATGGCTTCCAGTCCATGTACACGTAAATGTGCCCGTGGGCTCACACAGGTATGCACACTATGGAGAAATGTACCAATACGTAGTGCATATTCACAGGTAAATATACCTTCACAGGTAAATATACCTGTGGGCACATCCTATGTCCACATAAGCATACACATACAACACAGTCTGTTATAATTTTCCCACACAATGGGAGTGTAAACATTAAAAAACAACAACAACATTAATGCTATATTCCTGTCAAGGAAAGAAAAGTGTCTTTGATAGAGGATACCACTGTGGTAAGAGTGGCCGTGGTTCATATTTAAATGTCTGAGATGCAGTGTTGGGGTCCTTTCAGGAACTGGGAGAAGCAGAACCTCTGCCTGGAACCCAGGACACTTGGACCAACCTGTCTTTACCTTTTAGATTCCAGTAAGTGGTTGAGAGATAAAACGAGCTTTGGGGGACAACTTTCTCCCACTGCTTGAGGTTTCAACTTCTAGGTGGGGCCTGAGATTTCAAATGCCCTTCCCAGCTCCAGCTCCCCACTCCTCCAGCTTTGCTCCCCATCAGCGGGGCAGTTCTTGTCCAGGTCAAAGGAATTGCTGTTTATGGTGCTGCTGGGGAAACAAAGGAAACTCTTGCCTCTGTTTCCTGTAACTAGCAAGGCAAGTATTCTGAAGCTGCCTCTGACTGAGGAAGATGTATGTGTATAATACAATCTCTAATTTCCATCCTGGAAAGACCAGGTAGGTCTGAGAAAAAACAACCCAGGGAAAGGAATGCTGCTGCTTTCATCTTTCTTATGGGCAAGGGAAGCATGAAGGCCCATCTGAAGGAAAGCAACTCACCGGGGCAGACAGCGGGTGGGAATCTGGGTCTAAAAGTCTTGGCTAAGGAGGGTAGTGTTCATTTAATGGACTCTCTTCTGTCCATGTCCTCTTGAGAGACCCCTACAGCTGATGGGGTATTTAGAATCCTTGCTGTAGCCTCATCAGTGCCTGAACTCATCAGCTCTGTGCCCAGCTCCACAATGAAGGTGGTGAACTTCCAGGAGAAACAGGTTCCTGGGTCAGGGACAGTCACTATCCTCTACCTAGCAGCTAAATAGGGCCTGGCACATGGAGAGCACTCAGTAAATGATTGAATCAATGTCAAATGAGGAGTGAGAAAATGAGGGACTAAAAGAAAGTGGTTGAGGAGGCTAGGTAAGATATGAATCAAATCGGTGATATGGCCAGACCAGAGCTTGTGCTTGGGGCAAATAAAGACTGTTGGGGTTTGGTGAAGAGGAGATTCCTGCAGGCTGATGTTACTGAAAGGGCAGGTTTCCCGATTTGGCCCATTTGCAGTCCCGGCTCTGATTCTCACGCTGTCAGTGCTCCAAGACAAATATCTGAACCTTGGGGTTCCCACACTAGAGGGTTGAATGGGTGGACTATAGAAGTTAACACTTTCTGAGGTTTTCCTGTATGCCAGGCCCTGTTCCAAGTTCTTTACATCTGAATGCACACAGCAGTTCTTTAATGCAGGTCATATTATTATCCTTATTTTTCAAATGAGAAAAACTTAAGCTTAAGGAGAGGGGAAGTACATTGCTTAAACTTACACAGCTTCTGCATAATACAGCCAAGATTTGAAATTAGACAATCTATTTCCAGAGTCTACACTCTTAACTACTGTACTAAATCAAGTTATTGCTTTGATTCTTACCCATACAAAGTGAAAGGGGCAGAAATTGTGGTATGGTAATTTTTGCACTTCTGACTCTTGAAAATATCTTCACTGGATTGAAATACATTATCATATTCTACATTTGTATATATATGTATATATATACATATATATACACACTAATACCATACTTCTTTAATTATTTTAACTTTGAAATATTTAATGACAAAAAGACAAAAAGATCAATGCTTGACTCATCATTATTCCTTTGCAAAATCCCCTTATCTATTTATGAATACCCTTACAGTAGATGTAAAATTTCAGAAGAGAACAAATGCCATTTTGATTGGCTTTCCATTATGTTTATAAATTAGAGGAAAATTGAGAAATGCATAAGAGGTGATCTTTTCTTTTAGAATAAGGAATGTTTCCATTCAAGTTTTATTTGTTTATAAAGAACTGTAGTTTATAAAAGTTTATATAACTTTTATACATTTAGCTTTTCTTAAACATTACATTTTTTTGGTTATTTTGAATGAATTTTTTTTCCACTGTATTTCCAGAATGGACATTACTGTGGTGAAACTGTTGTTACTAGTTACGTTATGAATTCTTATTTCAAAGAGAATTTTCACTGTTTCTCATACAGCAAACATATGCCTCCTTGATAAATAGTCATAAAGCCTCCACTCTTCTAACAGTTAAACCTCTTTTCTAAAAGCATAATTTGACTTGTTTTCTCAGTTTAAAAGTTTTAATATTTTAAAAAATATTTAGTTAAGAGTGATAAGAATACAAAAATCCCCAGCAATAATCCCACTACCCAGATAACACTACTAATACCCTGATGGTGTCCTTTCACACATTTTACAAAACTGTGACTATATCGTACATAGTGTTTTATTTCTTGGTTTTTTAACTTGATAATATGGCAGTAAGCTTTTCCCCAACTTATTAAAATGGCCTTTTGCAACTCATTAGTTCAGTAAATATTTCTTGATCACTTACTACATGTCAGAAACTCAGAAACTGTGTTTGGTGCTAGGAATACAATGGTGAACAAGATAGATATGGTTCCTGCTCTAAGGAGCTTACAATATAGTGGAGACAACAGAATCAAACAAATAAGAAATAGAAGTAAGGCCAGCCGAGTGGTTCAGTTTGTTAAGAGCTCGCTCAAAAGTGCCAGCTCTGAGCAACAGGGTCACTGGTTCAATTTCTGGCCCAAGCTGATCTGCCACTGAGCTGCCAATAGGTGGCAGGATGGCTCAGCTAAAATAAAAAAAAAATAGAAGTAATAGCTAACAGAACAGTTATCAAAAGCTAGACACTGTTCTATAAGCTTATGCGTACTAACTCACTTAGTACTCAAGACAACCCTGTAAGGTAGGTACTGTTTTTAAAACAATTTTACAAATGAGTAAACTAAGGCACAAGAATGTTAAGTGTCTAGTTTTAGGCAATTCTCCTGGGACGGTGGCTCTTACCCCATTTTATAATGGCAAAAGCACAGTTAGTAAATGGTGGAATGAGAACTGGAATTTGAACCAGTGTTTTTAGAGATCACACTCAATCTCTATTCAATATCACTGTCTTTAAAAATAAATATTGAATTATAATGCATTTCATGCAGGAAATGAGGTAACTTGCTAGTGTATATAATGGGAGCAAGAACATATTTGTAGAGGGGTGATCAGAGTGTATCTCTCTGGAGGGAGTATTTATGCCAAA